TTCTCTTGTCCCTTCCTCCACCATTTTATAAGTGTAAACTTATTGTCAATTAAATGATTTTATTTTCTTTTCTGTTAAATTTCTTAGAAAATAAGCCTTAACTTCCACTTATTTTACACACATTATATGCTAAATTACTTTTGTTGTTGTTGTTTTGTTTTGTTTTTGTTTTTGTTTTTGTTTTTGAGACGGAATCTCTGTCACCAGGCTGGAGTGCAGTGGTGCGATCTTGGCCCACTGCAACCTTTACTTTTATCTTCCGGGTTCAAGCGATTCTCCTGCCTTAGCCTCTCAGGTAGCTGGGACTACAGGCGTGCGCCACCATGCCCAGCTAACTTTTGCATTTTTATCAGAGATGGGGTTTCCCCGTGTTGGCCAGGATGGTCTCAATCTCTTGACCATGTGGTCCACCCACCTTGGCCTCCCAAAGTGCTGGGATTACAGGTGTGAGCCACTGCGCCCAGCCAATTATGTGTTTTTTAAAAATATTCTAAACAACACAACTAGATAGATACAGTTTATCTGCATTTTACAGATGATGAAAATAATAATAAAAAATTAGAAGTTATTTGCCTCAAATGTATCACAACTAAATGCTGAACCAGCGTTAGAACTCAAGCCTGATTCTAATGCCCTCCTTTTTCTTTCATTTCACTTTGTTAAAAGAAAAGCTTTAGACAAATACAATTTAACAGAGTTTGAGCAAAGAGCAATTCATGAATCAGGTAGCATTCAAAACTGAAAGAGGTTCAGGGAGCTCTACTCCAGCAGTGTGACCAGCAAGCTTTTATAGGTTGAACATGGAAACAAAGTAGAGAAATTACCTGATTGACTACAGCTAGGCATTTGCCTTATTTGGATATTGTCTGATGGAAATTCTCTATTTGTAACCAGTAGGTTGGTTGACTGTGATTGGCTAAGGCTTGTTTTTGGTTTTTAAGTCAGTTACAATAAATGTTTCCAAGTTAAGTTTAAGTTCTCTTACATAAGAGGCCTTGTTATGGAGGTAATCTCAGGCTAATAGCCATCTTATTTAACAACATTATATCATACTCTTGGGAAGATATATGATTTTTATACAAGCTAATATGTCACATCTGTGTATTTTATAAATATTAGAAAAGGAGATAAAACATGCGTAGTTTTAAAAACAGTCTTATAAGTGACTTATGAAGATGCCTTGTGAGGTAAAGAATTAGTCCTGGGACATTAGCCATGTATAATTGTCTTTATGCCTCACTCTAATTTGAAATACTCTTTTTCCATCCTAGGTCATATGTTATCAACATTGTTAAGTCAAGACTTGAACTGTCGTGTTAGTTGATTTCATTTATAAGCTTGACTGGGCCATCTGGTGACCAGACATTTGGTCAGATATTCTGAATGTGTCTGTAAGGATATTTCTGGATGAGATTAACATGTGAATCAGGAGACCAAGTAAATCACATTTTCCTGTGTGGTGGGCCTTATCCAATCAAATGAAGAATTGAATAGAATAAAAGACTGAGTAATAGGAAATTTATCCTGCCTATTTGAGTTGGGACATACATCAGTCTTTTCCTGCCGTTGGACTCAAATTGAAAAATTGACTCCTCTTGGGTCTTAAGCTTGTCAACTTTTGGACTGAAACTTAAACCATTGACTGTTGTGGTTCTTAGGCCTTTGGACTTGTACTGAAACTGTACTGTCAGCTCTCCTGGGTATCCAGCTAACTAGTTATAGATCTTGGGACTTCTTAGCCTCTATTATCATGTGAGCTTATAATAAATCAATCTGGCACTGTCTGTCTCTCTTGCTCTCTTTCTCTGCCCTCATCTTCACCCATCGGTATTGGTTTTGTTTTCTCTAGTTCCTTTTCCTCAGAATTAACCTCCAAGCCTTTCATTATCTCTCTTCCTCCATGATACCCACTCTCATTTTTAATATGTCTCCCTATTCACAGTTACTCAGAACGCTACACACAAAATGATTTCTACAAGTCACTTAGATTTCCAGCAGTACTGCCAATTACAACCTATTAGTTTCTCCTGCACACACAGGCACATACACACCTCCACAGTCACACACACATTCACACAGGCACACTATTTTTCCACACAGTATAATGGCTATCCAGTGGAACTTTTCTGTGATGATGAGAATGTTTTATATTTGCTTTGTTTAATATAGTAGTCACTAGGCAGATGTATTAATCTGACTTATTCAGAAAAACAGAACCAAAGGGATATATATAGATACACACACACATATATATGTATATGTATTTGTACTATGCATATGTATAGGTATTTTTACTATATATATGTATATGTGTTCGTTTTATATATGTGTGTGTGTGTATATATATGGAGAGAGACAGAAAAACTGTAAGGAATTAGCTCATGTGATTATGGAAGCTGAGAAGACCCAAGATTTGCAGTCAGCAAGCGGGAGACTTAGGAGAGCTAGTAGTATAATTCCTGTTTGAGTTCCAGCTTGAAGTCAGGCAGAAAGAAAGAGTTATTTCTTATTCAGCTTTTTGTTCTATTCAGACCTTCAACAGACAGGATGAGGCACAGCTACAGTGGGGAGGACAATCTGCTTTAGTCAGTCTACCAATTCAAGTGTTTAATCTCGTCTGGAACACCCTCACAGACATACCCAGAAGTAATGTTTAACCAAAAATGTGGGCACTCTGTCCCAAACAAGTTGTCACTCATCACACCACATATGACTGACCACTTAAATGTGGCTAGAGCAATGATGGACCTGAATTTTTAGTTGTATTTACTTACAAGTAATTTAAATAGCTACACATGGCTCATGGTTACTGTATTGCATAGCGCAATGGTCACTTGTCTTGGTCCTGGAATGGAGCTTTAATTGATGCCGTAGGACAATTTAGACTACTTCTCCAGTATCTAGCTTCTACCTAGGCCTCTTGGAACACCTGCTCTGGGAGAACCAAGCTTCATGCAAAAAGCCCAGTCACTCTGGGACTGTCATGCTGTGAAGAAGCGCCAGCTAGCCACTTGGAGAGGGTGCGTTAAGAAAGAGAAAACCCTAATGATCAGTGAGGATGAGCTTTTTTCCATATGTTTATTGGCCACATAACTGTCTTCTTTTGAGAGTTGTCTGTTCGTATCCTTTGCCCACTTTTTGATGGGGTTTTTTGTTTTTTTCTGGCAAATCTGTTTAAGTTCCTTGTAGATTCTGGATATTAGACCTTTTTCAGACGGGTAGATTACAAAAATTTTCTCCTATTCTGTAGGTTGCCTGTTCACTCTGATGCTAGTTTCTTTTGCTGTGCAGAAGCTCTTTAGTTTAATTAGATCCCATTTGTCAATTTTAGCTTTTGTTGCAATTGCTTTTGGTGTTTTAGTCATGAAATTTTTGCCCATTCCTATGTCCTGAATGGTATTGCCTAGGTTTTCTTCTAGGGTTTTTATGGTTTTGGGTTTTATATTTAAGTCTCTCATCCATCTTGAGTTAATTTTTGTATAAGGTGTAAGGAAGGGGTCCAGTTTCAGTTTTCTGCATATGGCTAGCCAGTTTTCCCAACACCATTTATTAAATAGGGAATCCTTTCCCCATTGCTTGTTTTTGTCAGGTTTGTCAAAGATAAGATGGTTGTAGATGTGTGCCCACATGGTATATGATTTCACAAAAGATTGAATAAAGAAGCAGGTATGAGAATCTAGTTGTCTTCCATTAAGCCAGATGTTAAAGAGATTTGCAAAAATATAAAAGAATGTAACCCTTCTCAAGAAACTTTTTTTTTTGTTTTGGAAAATAGTTATTTTAGTTATCCATTTATATATTTTTGTAGTTATATATAGTTGTATACAAAGGCATGTATATAAAATGGATATATATGAATATGTATATTAAATAGATATATTGAATATAGTTATATAAATTTTTTTCTTATTTTTAAATGAATCAATAAATATTGAAGTGTTCTCAGAAAAAAACAAGAAAAGAAGAAAGATCCCCATCTCTTCTAGCCATCCCAGCTGAATCATAAGAAATGTGAATGAGGAAACCATACTGGACATGTAACCTAGTCAGACCTTCAGATGGCTTCAGTCACAGCTGCCATTTGCCTGTAGTTATATGAAAACTCCCAAGCAAGAAGCATCACCTCAACTCACAGGAGCATGAGAGATTATAAATTGTTGTCTTAAGCCACTACATTTTAGGGTGATAACTGGAACAGAAATGTAGAATCAAGGTTTTCTATTTGTCCGGCTCCCCAAGTTCCCAATCCTCTTTTCCTTTCTGTTTCCCACTTCCTTGCTTTGGATAATGCAACTTCTATGTTTAGAGCTGAATTTGCAGTTCCAAGATACTCACATTTATCTGATCTTTACCTGTCTTGGATTTCTGACCTCATGTTTAAAAAATCTTTCTTAATTAAGATATATGCGGTTTTCCTTTCTACTTTTAAATAGCCCAACTTAGAAAAGTGCTTGCCTTTTTCTTGTTTACTAAAGCCATAAATAATTAATGCAATCTAACACTGATCTTTTTCAACCAATTATCTTGTAAAAGTCTAACCTCAGAAGGCATATAGTTTATGCTCCAAGATCAGCATTTTAACAGCTACTTTGCTACCAGAAGAGAATGGATTGGAAAAGAGGGGGATTGTGTTGGGCATATACTCAATAATTATGTTAGAAATAACACTTCTTATGTATAATAATAATATTAATTATGTAGTGAAATCCTATATAAGCTATTTATACAACTTGTACATTTGGCTATTTAACACAGTTACATAGGCTTGAATGTTAGCCCTTATGAAAAATATACTTTTATTCCAATGAGCTCAACATTTATGAAAATTCAAAAGGAATTTAATATTAAATGTCAGGAAAACAAATGCTTAAAACAAATTTTACTGTCTTATTATGTTTCTTAGTGGCTATTTTTATGTATTTCACATCAAGAGGGCAAATTTTGGAGTCTGAAACTTACATTAGGTCTCTACTACATCAGTGATTTTTTTTTTGTTCTAGTTCTAAGGACATATGGAATTGGCTATGGATAATTCATATGCTTTCAATCAACGAAGTACCTGTAATGGAATTCCATCTGAGAAGAAAAACAACTTTCTTGTGTCAGAAGATCATGGACAAAAAATCTTAAGTGTACTACAGAATTTTAGAGAACAAAATGTCTTTTATGATTTCAAAATAATTATGAAAGATGAAATAATCCCATGTCATCGTTGTGTGTTAGCAGCATGCAGTGACTTTTTCAGGTACTTTACCTTGTCTATGCCTCACATTTTATGATTTGGATAATTAGGTTCTATTTTATACTGGACTCAAGTTTTCCCCTACAGGAATATGCAACAGTAATTTTTAATTCTTAAAAAAAACAAAAAAACAAAAAAACAACTAATTAGGCTGGGCACGGTGGCTCATGCCTGTAATCCCAGCACTCTGAGAGGCCAAGGCAGGCAGATCACCTGAAGTCAGGACTTCAAGACCGGCCTGACCAACATGGTGAAACTCTGTCTCTATTAAAAATGCAAAAATTAGCTGGGCGCAATGGCTGTGCCTGTAATCCCAGCTACACAGGAGCCTGAGGCACAAGAATTGCTTGAACCCAGGAGGCTGCCGTTGGGGTGAGCTGAGATCGCACCACTGCACTCCAGCCTGGGCGACAGAGCGAGACTCCATCTCAAAGAAACAAAATAAAAAACAAAAAACCTAATTAGAACCAAGATTACCTAATGATTTTTTTTTTTTAAGACGGAGTCTCGCTCTGTCGCCCAGGCTAGAGTGGAGTGGCGCGATCTCAACTCACTGCAAGCTCCGCTTCCCAGGTTTGCGCCCTTCTCCTGCCTCAGCCTCCCGAGTAGCTGGGACTACAGGCGCCCACCACGGCGCCCGGCTAATTTTTTGTGTTTTTAGTAGAGACAGAGTTTCACTGTGTTTACCAGGATGGTCTTGATCTCCTGACCTCGTGATCCACCCGCCTCAGCTTCCGGAAGTGTTAGGATTATAGGCATGAGCCACCGCGCCCAGCCATGATTTTTTAGTAGGAGAGACTTTAAGACTACCTTTTTTTAAAGTACAGGTCTTCCCAGGTCAGCATTTACCAAAGTTCTCTGGAACATTAATCCCTTGAAATACTCTGGGACAAAAAAAAAAAAAAATTATTATGGTGTCAGCTTTGTTTGGGGGATCCCTGTATTGTATTATTTTAGAAAAAGATGATGACAGGTTGAACAAAAATGGAAGCAAAATTTGAAGAAAATAACTCTGAGAGAAAAGCAAATTTCAGTCCTATGTTGTATTCTTGTATTATGGGGAGAGGAGGCTCTAACCGATTTAAAATTTATCCTCTCCTTAGCAAAGATATCTTTTTATTAGGGAAAAGTACTTCTTAGCTATAAGGCATTTCTTAAAAGCACTCAGCTTGTTCTAATTCTAAGCAACCTTCTGAATATAATTTGGTTTCCCATGTAGATCACCCTAAAGAGAATGTCCTATTCCTAACACTGCACTAATCACTATGATGACAGCAGGTTTCCGATTCTGCAAGGTTAAGGGCCAGACACATGACCTTGCAATTACTGTGTTAATTGTATCAAGGTAGTACTATCCTGTGAGGCTTCTTGGTCAATAGACAAGCCCCTTTTGGTGAAACCCTGATCTTCAGCCTTCCTGGTTATATTACAATAAACTTAAATCCTAACAGCAATATTTTGCATTATGTTCATTCATGAAAGCAATTTTAATTTGAATTAAGCAGGGTTTAAATCTCCAATAAACTCGATTAAAAAAATAAAGTTTAAGATATAGAAATACTAAGATGCATATTCTATATGCAAGTTAATTTATACTATTTTGAATCTTCATTTTAACCCTTATTTTTTTACCACCATCTTACTAGATCTCACCCTTATTGCCTTTAGAGTAAATCTTACAAGCTAGATTTCATTCAACAAACATTTACTGATATATACTTTTTTAAACATAAATTTACTGATATATACTTCCTGCTAAACACCTGTTCCTGTAGGGGCTCTTGCTTTGAAATTGGGAGCAATGGCTTAGTACTGCAGCACAGTTTCCTGGGGCCATGGAGCCTACAACAGTCTTGAACTAGCTGTTTGCCTAATTTGACTATATGCCTTCATCTATTCTTTGTATTTCTTCTCTCAGGTAATCAAAGTTGTTCTTTGAACTTCACTGGGGCCCTTACTGTCTTATACTCTGTCACTCTTATTTCCACCAGTGTCTTCCCTCCTCTCTTTTCTTCCATGTAACTCTTTTCTTTCCCCTTATCCTTCAGGTCCCCTCTTCATCACTATGTAGTACAGTGGTTAAGTAGTTGGCCTCTTAATACATATGCCCTAAATCTAAATCCAAGCTCTGCCATTTACTAGATATGTTTTATTAGTTAAGTTACTTAACCCCTTCAGGCCTCAGTTTCCTCATTTGTAAAAAAAGTAGGATTATAAAAATAGGACTTAACTCATAGAATTATTGTATTGCTTAAATGAGATAATGTATAAGTAATAATTAGCACCGTACCTACTATATTCAGTTAATATTAGCTGCTATGATTATTATTTCGAAACCTAGCAAAAATATAAATAATCTGGTGTGAACACACAGCTTGATTTCCCTGTAATGTTTTCATGCTAATAAAATACTCTCTGTAGGCATTTGAATGTCTAGACCTGCACTCTTCTTGATGTTGTTTTTTATTCAATTTATACATAATTTTTGCACATAGTTCTTTGTTCAGCTTACTGCTAGTTTTTTATAGTTTTTTATTTAGTTTTTAAAATTACTATCAGAACAATGTATTTTTAAAGTTTTCTACCTGGTATAAATAACAAAAGTATCAGATCCTTTATTACCTATAGTACTTTATTAAGTGAGTACACAGTTCACATTAAAATATGTACATATGTAATAGACATTTGACAGTTTACACTCTCCTATAATGCCGCTAATTCATAATATGATCAAACTCACTTAATGGAGTACTGAATGTGTAAAATAAAAATGTCAGAAAAGTGCACAATGCATGAAAATATCCCTCTTACAGTGTTTTTGGAAAATGAAAATTATTATTGAGACGGAAGGTCTCATTGGTGACAAGAAATTGAAAAGGAATTGCACACATTTTATACATACTTTATGATAAGATGGTAAATTGGAGATAGATGTTAACTGGGTACTTTAAGATGAATAGGATGAAGTATAGAAATATAATCTTACATGTGTCTTTTCAAAGAAAATGTGGAAGCTGATAGTAAATTATAACTACATCAAATCTGATAGAAAACATTTCTTAAAATAATGATAGCAATAAAAGCTAATACTTTGCATCAATTAACCCATTTATTCCTCTCAGCACCCAATGACATAGATACTACCAGTACCTCCATTTTCAGATGAAGAATTCGAAGCACAATAAAGTTAAGTCACCTCCCCAAGGCCACTCAGCTAATAAGTGGCAGAGGCTACATACACTGGCAGGTGGGCCCAATGGACCACATAGCCAGCTGGGCTATATGGACTCTTAATATTATCCTAAACTGCTGTAGATGTCTTAATAATCTATATAATTATTATCACAGGTTAATATTTCTATTGATATTCATTATTAAAAAACCGTGCATAATATGTAACATTTTGCAAGTTCCCTCGTATTTTTCAGTTGGATGTTGTACTTTTTAAATAGATTTCATTACCTTCTGGAGTAGACTTTGATAAGTAAATTGGTTTTCCCCTAGAATACTTTGGGCAACTATGAACACTGCTCAGAAAGACATCCTGGACAATACTGGCACAAATAAAAATCATTATTAAACCAGAACCAATAGTAAAATACGTTTTGCTCCATAATAATACATTTCCAAATAATTTATGTTTTTACCTAAACTGAGCCAAAGAAATTTCCAGTTCCTTAGATTCTGTCAACTTTACCATGTAGCAATAAAACAAAACTTATTTTGAAAAACTTTCAAGCTAGTCTAATTATTCAAATTTGGGGACCTATCTCCATCTCTCAGTGCCTATTAAATTCTTTTTTTTTTTTCACCTTTTTGCTTGATGTGGTTCACTGTTGCTGTTTAGTTTTAGGAGATCACATTCCCCTTCTCCTAAAGAACTTTATAAAATATCTTTTTAGACATGTATCTTATTTGGTGAATTTCGCCCGCACAATAGAGTCATTGGAGACATCAAGTATCTCACTGTACTCTTTTCTATTTCATTAATGTGAAATCAAAGATGAATTTGAAAGAGACTTTTAAATTCTAAGCTCTAAATAATTATATTTTAAGTAATTTTACTTATCACCAGCACAGTTGTTACTAATTAATCCATAAATAAAGAAATTTGGCCATCAGCAAGATTTTGCCCCAATAGTGTTAATAATAAAGAAGAATCAAATCAGTATACAAAATTTGAATCTTTTTATAGTCTTTTTTTATTAGTTGCTATAGCTCAGCTGTAATGTACATATTTTGTAATATAGGCATTTTGTAATATGTTTATTGGCAGATAAATATGGTATATAATTCTAGATATTAGGATGCAATTAAACATGATTTTATAAATATATTTTAAGTCAAGAATAAGGAAACCTCCTTAAGGTAATATTGAAAATAATTATGGAATAAAATATTCCTGTTGTGTTTCTGTGTTCTTTATTTTTGCAGGGCTATGTTTGAAGTAAACATGAAAGAAAGAGATGATGGAAGTGTTACCATTACTAATTTGTCCTCCAAAGCAGTAAAAGCATTTCTCGATTATGCCTATACTGGAAAAACAAAAATAACAGATGATAATGTGGAAATGTTCTTCCAGTTGTCATCATTTCTTCAAGTTTCCTTCCTATCCAAAGCTTGCAGTGACTTTTTAATAAAAAGTATTAATCTTGTCAATTGTTTACAGTTATTATCTATATCAGATAGCTATGGCTCCACCAGTTTGTTTGATCATGCATTACACTTTGTACAACATCACTTTTCTTTATTATTTAAATCCAGTGATTTCTTAGAGATGAATTTTGGAGTACTACAAAAATGTCTGGAATCAGATGAATTAAATGTTCCTGAAGAAGAAATGGTACTGAAAGTTGTCCTTAGTTGGACTAAACATAACTTAGAATCAAGGCAAAAGTATCTGCCTCATTTGATTGAAAAAGTAAGATTGCATCAGTTATCTGAGGAGACACTTCAGGACTGTCTGTTCAACGAAGAGAGTTTACTCAAAAGCACAGACTGTTTTGACATAATCATGGATGCAATTAAGTGTGTGCAAGGTTCTGGTGGACTCTTCCCTGATGCTCGACCATCCACAACTGAGAAATATATATTCATTCACAAAACTGAGGAAAATGGAGAAAATCAATATACATTTTGCTATAATATTAAAACTGATTCATGGAAAATACTGCCGCAATCACACCTGATTGATTTGCCAGGATCTAGTCTTTCGAGTTACGGAGAGAAAATATTCTTGACAGGTGGTTGCAAAGGGAAATGTTGTAGAACGGTTCGACTGCATATTGCTGAGTCATATCATGATGCCACTGATCAAACCTGGTGCTACTGTCCAGTCAAAAACGATTTCTTCTTGGTATCAACTATGAAAACACCAAGAACCATGCATACATCAGTTATGGCTCTCGATAGATTATTTGTCATTGGTGGAAAAACTACAGGATCCCGGGACATTAAAAGTCTTTTAGATGTTGAATCTTACAATCCGCTTTCCAAAGAATGGATATCTGTTAGCCCATTACCCAGAGGCATATACTATCCAGAAGCAAGTGCATGCCAAAATGTAATTTATGTTCTTGGATCAGAGGTAGAGATTACAGATGCTTTTAACCCATCACTTGATTGCTTTTTTAAATATAATGCTACAACTGATCAGTGGTCTGAACTAGTAGCAGAGTTTGGACAATTTTTTCATGCAACATTAATTAAAGCTGTACCAGTAAACTGTACACTGTATATATGTGACCTTTCCACCTATAAGGTTTATAGTTTTTGTCCAGACACTTGTGTTTGGAAAGGCGAAGGATCTTTTGAGTGTGCAGGCTTTAATGCAGGTGCAATTGGAATTGAAGATAAAATTTATATATTAGGTGGTGATTATGCACCAGATGAAATCACAGATGAAGTGCAGGTCTACCACAGCAACAGGTCTGAGTGGGAAGAAGTTTCACCAATGCCTAGAGCCTTAACAGAATTTTACTGCCAGGTAATTCAGTTTAATAAATACAGAGACCCATGGTTTTCTAATCTATGTGCTTGAACATTCTAAAACGAGTCCAGTTCTAGTAACGTAAACTTGTTAACCAAAATGATAGGTAAAAAGGTCTATACATCTTAATGGAATAAAACGTTCCTGCTTTTAGTTATTATGTATGTACACCATATATAAATAAACAGTTTCCCAAAACTTAAAATACAAAATACATTTTACCAAAAATTATATTGAATATAATTTAACCTTGGGGAATCCAGAATACTTAGTATTTTCACATGAAACTACAAATCACAGACTCTGACACTTTAATTTTTAAAGTACTCCGTCCATAAAAGATTTGTACTATTTAGATGGGAGAAATCTCTTGAGAGAGTAAAAATGAATTACACTGCATCTTATATGAAGTAAAAAATAAATTAGAGGTGAGAATCTTGTTACTGCGGGTATGAGTTGTTGAATTCCTATCATTTGTGATGATTGGTTAACTTCTTTTAGGTACCCTTTTTCCCCTTTTTTAGTTCAGAAATAATTTTCCCAGCTTTATCAACAGTACACTAAACATAGTTTAATTTTTTTAATGACTCATTTTTTCATTAAGAGCATAATGTACCATGTTATAATGCCATTAGCAGTTACTTAAATGCTTTAAAAATTGCTGATTCTATTAGTTTTCAGTGTCAGTTGGTTTCAATTTCTAGCTCGTGCTCTCTCTCTCTCTCTCTCTCTCTCTCTGTCTCTCTCTCTCTCTCTCTCTCTCTCTGTCTCTCGTTTTCTGGTTCAATCTTAGTAAATTAACATTCTGGATTTAATTAGTAGTTCTAAGTTACACCTGGCCTGAGTTTATGTTAGCATGTAACCCTCAATGGGAAATTTTTGGATTCTGGGATGTTAGTACTAAAATACTTTTTATGTATCACTGCTAGATTCCAGCCTAATTGAGGACATAGAAAATTGACCTCTAATTAAGTGGATCATTATTATTGCATTTCTTAAGCTTTGTCTAAATTTGAGCTACATAAAACATTTTAGGATTTAAATTAGTACCATATCAATTTTCTGTGATGATGTATACCAACTATAAAGCACCTTGTTGGTTTACTACTTCAGTAAATTATTCTCAGTGAATTACTTTCTAAATTTAAAAAAAAAATGACTTGGCTATTGGTATTGATAATAGTATTCACAACCTGCATCTGTTAAGATGTTTGATCTTTAACCCAAACAGTGTAAGAGTACTGTTGTCATTGTTCTCAGGTAGGTGATTCTGCCTTCCAAGAATATATGTTTCTTTAATCAGTTTAAAAGATAAAAGGCATTTTGGGTTTTAAGACCCCTGCTTTACATCTCAGGTAATGTGTAGATTGTATTTCTCTGGAACCAAATGTAGTTTTCTACACTCAGTTGTAAATGTTAATCTTTCTCAAATGTGCACATTCTTTAAAAGTGTGTTCCTAAGTAGAAATATACTTAAATGAAGATTCTCTTATTTTATCATATAAATTTATGCAACAATAAGTTCCAAATGTATTTTTCAAAATGGAATGGAATATTAGAGTACATTTTCATGAAGTTTAAAAATCAAGGAATGTTCCTGATTAGATGACATATTTATAAGGAGTATTCTGTAAAATTGGTGGCCTTCCTATCTAAGCACATGAGTAGTTAGCTCTGTACTTTGCGTGTTTAAAAAAATGGAAAATTCAGTGGAGGCTTTTGTTTGTGTGGCTTTGAAAACAAATTATTTGAGAAAGACCATAACACAGTGAATAACCTATATGTGGATTTACTGAACTGTTAATTTAAGCATATATATTAATAGAGTATGTTTAAAATAAATATTGTTTTCATCACTGACTTTAGGAATTGTTCATCTATTTCAGAAAGGAGAAACCCAAAATCAGATCCCTTTTTGATATTGCTTCATTGTTCTATCATCTTCTTGATTTCCACTACTGTTCTGATTGGCCTTTGCTTTATGCTAATGTTTCCAGAAACATTCTTGTTATCAAAGCCTAGGTGGCTCCCTCTGCATTTGATTTAATACATTTTCTAATGCAGAAGGTTTTCTGCCCTAGTTTTTTTTTTTTTTTAATAATTACTGTGGGTTACTTTTTAATCATTTTCACTGATTGCCATCCCTTTACATCTGTACCTTTGTTCTCTCCACCAATTATCACTGCAAGGAAAATACTCTGTCTAATCAAAAAACCTCCAACTCTTTGCATACTGTTTTTTTTCCTGGTCACCATAGCAATCTGTGCTAGACTCCACTCCACTAACTCCTCTCCTTTCATATTTTGCCTCTCCTTATAAAGATAGCACTTTCATTTGATCTGTCTGCCTTATTGGAGAACGGTTTTGTGTCTTCAAAGTCCTCAAGGAACTCAACCACACAGGAGCAATGACTACACTCTGGTTATATCCTCTGGTCTTGTTAATGACTGTGGCTTCACTGTCTAAGAACCATATATATTATTCTGACTTCACCTTCCTTTCTGGATTTCTGACCTGCAAATCTCAGTGATCCATCCAGTCTATTCTCAGTACCTCCAGAAGGAGCTGTTTTTTCTGTCTGTGAGGTTAGGTAAGAGAAAATAACATCCTTTTATGGGCTCTTAGTCTTTTTTAAAGTCTGTTTTCCTTTCATTATATCCTTCAGCCAGTGCTACAGTGTAAGAGACAAAATAATGCTCATTATCCGGATTGCTATCATTCCTGTGGAAAAATTCTATTTAACATTTCTAAATCCATTACCATTTGTCTTGCTCCACTACATTTGCATTATGCATGCCAAAAATATTTTAATATTGTAATGTCTTCTAAAATTGAAAAGTAGGTATATGGCATTATTAAATACAAAATAGAGTATATTTAACACATGAGATCCATTCAAAGTTAATGGACATTCCTAAAATGTGGAGAACCTTTTGTTCATCTACACCCTTTGAAACTAAGTAGTATGAGGAATATTTACATAATCAAAGCTAACTATTTTCCCATAATCAGCTCTGGTCTGGGGAGTGAAGGAGGTCGTTATCACAGCAATATTCATTACATGCTACCCTTGAAAGCTGGATTAGTATTCAAGAGCGACCACATGCTGCAATATGATTCCATATTTCTCAGATACCAAGAAGAGCAATTGAATATATGTTCAGTATGCTTATTAGCTCAAGGTATACCATTTGAAAATCAGAATTAAGCGCAGAGGGATACATCTGTTTACATTTTGAGATTTGAATGTAATAAATATTATAATGTCATGATGAGTTGAATATATAATGTAACTTTAAGATCATCATGCTCAGTTTAATTGGATCTAGTGTTGTGGAAACTCTTATTTAGAATTGAAAGTATAAATCTCAAAAATGTTCTCTGAGGGGGGCAGCTCTGAATGGCAACCTAAACATAAAGGCTGAAAATTATAGGGAGCGTATTTCTGTCCAGTGTAAGAAACAACTTTATAGTCATACTTTAGAATGAAACCAGTTACCCAAAACTGTGGCATATGGAAGATCATTAGCTCAATAATTTCCTATATGAAAGAGCATGACCAAAGATTTCTACATTCTATTACACATCTCAATCTCCATCATTTCTGATATATGTTTTCTCCTCCAACTTATTTAGCATTTTAGGCATTGTGAATAACTTGATTCAGTGGTTCTTGATACTCACGATTTTTCAATAGAAACTGAGTCTTAAAACTACACCATTTTTGGAACTATATATTTATTCAAGATAAATTTTTTAATTAGGAAAATTTGTAAATGGTGCTGACATTTACAGTGAGCTGCTAGTTGGGATTTTTCCTTTGATTTGCCATAGAGGTATGTTCATTTTATAATGAGTAGAAACTCAAAGATCAGTACCTACAATTTTCTCCTAAATTATTATTTTTCTGCATAGTATTTATACTGGCAAAGGTAGTAATTTTACTTAAATATTATATAATGTGAAAGAATATGTCTTAAACATCTAGATGTGTTTATAAAATATATTCAATGACTGATGCTTGATCAAATTTAATGTCAAAATGGGGAATTCAATCACAGGGAAATACTATTATACATATACCAAAAGATAACTCTTCTAAATCATAGACTCATTCAAATTTGAAAATAACCTTGGAAGCTAATGCAGCTTCCAAGCCTGCTATAGAAATTTCCTTTAAATTGTAAAACACTCTGACATGCAATTTTTGTTTTTTCAATTTCTAAATTGGTGTTTTCAGTGGTAAAGAATCACTATCTCCACGTTTGAACAGTTCTAATAGAAAATTCTTCCTAACACTGAAAACAAGTCTGCCTCCCTGTAATAACTTCCAGGCCTTGGTCCTAGGTCGCTATCTTCACATGCCAGTCATTTAAGTATTTGAACCAGTACCATGTCTTCCATTCCTCCAAAATCAAGACCTCATTTTTATTCTTGTTCAAATGCTTGGCACTTTAACATCTCCCACAATAGCTGATGTTATGTATCTTCTTGTACAATTACCTCAGACAATCTATCCTACCTAGCTCTATTGATTTTATGGTGGATTGAGCCTGACCAGTGTTGCAGAATCTGTTTCTTGTATGGACTTTGCCTCCCTGTCTGTTCTCAGTGTGCTTGATAATTCAGACATGTCATTCCCTCATTTAGCTCTTTAAATCTTATATATCCCATTTGGACTGGAGTCCTGCTGTGTCTCCCTTCTCCTACTCATGCCCATCAACATAATCACAACCATATTTTCTGGGAGAGGAATTATGAAGCCAAATGTTATTAAGTCAAACAATTTGTCATTAGATATGGTTTGAAGACTTTTAAAAACACTAAAGAAAACTCCAGAAACTCTACAAAAAATAGAAACCAAAGCAGTCACACCCTTGGTGGTGAATGAGAGGACAATAGGCTCACAAATCAATACTGACCAGCCTTATGACAATAACAATCTAAATTTGGAGATTTGTGCAGCTAGTCCATTTGGATAGAGCATGATATTTTCATAAAACAAGACTATAATTAAATAAGTCTATGAGTCAGATAGTGTTGTTCATCTCACTAACTTTGACATTCCCAACCATAAAAGTCTAACTAGCTCAACAAATTGTGCTGATGGTCTCAAGGGTAACAAAATTGCTGAAATAACTCAGAGTACAGTCCTCCATTAATGAGTATCGTATTGTAGTATAAATATTTCTTTATATGTCTGTCTTCCTCATTTAACTAGAAACTCTTAGGGATAAGGACACATCTTCAGCATTTCTGGGCCCAGCAGTTGGCAGAGTGCCTGTCATATAATAAAGCATCCAATAAGCTGATAGTATATTGACCCAATATGTGAAGCAAGATATATTTTAGTTGTTTCTGAATCAGTTTGGTATATCTGTATTTTTTTTTTTTACTTATTTTCATATGAAAAGGAAATTATTTTGATTTATGTTAGAATTTCACATTTTAGAATGCTACCACATTGTACTTTCTTAATGTACATGTTAATTTTTTTGTAATATTAATCTTGCTTATGTTCAAAGTCTCTGAGAAAATTGGTTTAGGTAGTTTATACAACTTTAGTTGTTGTAGTACAATAACTGGAAAAGTTAATCAAAAGCATTTTTTTAGAGTGAAATTGCATTATACAAGTACATTGCCAATCTTTGGAGATCATGTATATATTATAATTGACTGTATAGTTATGTATGTATTGTTGGGTCTTGAAAGTGAAATTATAGATTCAAAGTCATTTATCCACTTAATTTTTTAATGCTTGGGGAGTATTCGTTTTCAGTGAATTTTCATTATAATATTTAATTCTCTGTTTCTTTTCAAAGGCAATAATGGATAAAACTATGATTGCAAATTTCCCATTTCTCCTACAGAGCATAATAGTGTCAACGACCTTTTTCCCACTCAGGCAGGGGAGTAGTGCCCAAAGCTATTTACATTGCACACACAACTTACTTCATTTCTCTGTTAGTGGAATGTGGGCTTTTGCATATGTTATGAGAACTAAAATTAGCATTTTTGAGGTCCATGTTAACCATATTAACATGTAGTAAAACATTTCAATTCTATAAAATAATTTATTACAATGTATCTCAGAAAAATATATATAGTCTGTATTTATTATTACAAATAAAAGAAGTGGAGAAAGGTGAATGCCAGGATTCTCATTTTCTTGCTGCTCCTTTCCCAGGTGTTCTGGGTTTCTGGGTGGCTTTAATGGTCTCAGGAGTACTAAAAGTGTGGTGGTGAAGGTGGAGGATTATCAAAAGGGGCTTCTGTAGCTGGGGTATGTCCAGCAACATAGATTTCAAGGTGGAAAACTAGGTCTGAAATGAATATAGTGACAACCAGTCTTCAGGTGAGTCATAGATGGAGAGAGATCTCCAGGTCCTGACAGCTAAGAAGAACGGGCCAAATGTCCATGGGCTGCAGATGACAGTAGCAGAAGTTAGTCAAATCTGCAGGGCCAGGAACTTCCCAACCCTGCCTCACTGGACACTAGGCATACCATGAACCTATCTACTTCATATGCCCAGATACTCACGGGAGGAGCTAGTGAAGGAGCCAAAGTTTGAGAGACTAAGTAGTACCACAAAAGGGCTTTTAATGTGTTTGCATTGGACAGATGCTCTCTTAATTCCAGTTCCTGTAATTTTTTCTCATTTCTGGACAGGGCCATTTTCTATCATGTGTCTGGTTTTCCTCTGCAATGAGCTGTGATTTCTAAGTGATATTGACTCCCAAGTCCTTCCTACAGACTATGGCACAGGTTGCAACAGATTTCCCCCTTGGGAACCCAACCCTTGAAAAGTGAACTCTGTCCCCATCTCACATGACTGCATAAGGCCACTTGCCTTCTCCAAATTTCTGAAGAGCTCTGATGCTTACTTGTTAGTCCTTGTTCCAATCGTATCACTCCAGACTTCTTAATACCTCCAATCTTCAATGTGCCTCCAACTTTCTGCAGGTCACTTTGCTTTCAAACATAGACCCATTCCTTCTTTTCAATCCCCCAGACAGAAGCCATTAACAGAGTTTATTTTAAAACTTAAGAATATCATAGGGAATTGGCCTGCCACGTTGTTGGAGATGTTCTCCTCAAATCAAGGTCTCCTCTCTGAGTTAACATGTTAATACTCACAGGCCCTGATTGACGCTTTCCTTTTAAGTCATTAAACAGAATGGTTAATCATTGCAGTCCGACACATTGGCATTTGAAGTGCTTTCCCAAAATTCTGAACCCATCTGAATTAGTCCTTTTCCTCCCACTCAGTAGAGAAAAGGACAGAAGCCCCTCAATGACAAATCTCAGTCTCCATTCTTACAAAAAATTGTGAAAAGCATTTAAAATAGCAGTTTGTCCCCTTTCCAGTCAACAAGAGTTAGGTAATATTGGGCTACAGGCTCTTATCTATTTAGAATGTAAGTAACAAAATAAGTTTTGTTGAAAACTGTTTGTAATTATTTAGCTAATATACAGATTTTAACTGATTTCTACGTATATTTTCCAGTGAAAATAACTCTAAAAATGTAATATTCTTTCCATTATGGATGCAAAAAGCTTCAAAATGTTTATAAAGTGTTTTGAGGTTTTTGAAACTAATTCAGCATATTGAATTTTGAGGCAATGTGGCACTAGACCAGTCTGCATAATGAACATTAATTATTTAAAACTGAAGATTTTATTACTGCTTTTTATAAAACCCATGCTATAGTGACTGTGCTTATTAAATTTTACAATTTTAAAGACTTTTATAAAGCTTAATGAGCCTAAACCTAAGATAGCCAACTTAATAATATTCATGAAACACAAGAAATTTGTGGGAGCTATCTTAAAATATAATTTAGGCATAAATATTAAATACTGTCCTAGTATTTACAGTGTTAGATTTTGCTGCACCTGATAATAAATATTTTTGCATTTCTTCTAAGTTTAGGGCTTGCTTAACTTGATTTTGCTCTGATGGTAATTGGTGAATCTTCCATGGGAAGTTAATTACCCTTTCCTAACCCTGACCAAAATGTGTGCTGTAAAATGAGTTTAAATTTTTTAATCAAGAAAAGCCTTTCCCTGTGGGCTTTTCAGATTTAAAAATCCAATTAGCCTTAATGTTTTTCCTTTTAGAGATTAACCACCCTTTTATGTTATGAAACATTAATTGGAATTCAAACTATTTATAGCTCCTTTTAAAACAACCTTTTAACAAATCAGTAAATTTTGTGTTTCTTTTACAGACAGTATTCACCTTTGAATTCAGTATTCCTGAAGGAGTAAAATATTACCACAGTATTCTTCCATTTAATTTCTTTTACAAGAACCAATTAATATGCACCCTTGTTTCTAAGAATTTTTATAAATAAAACTATTCAATAGTTTAAAATAAAGCATCTACATTTCTTTCATTGATAAATGAAATATTGAAGCTCCAACCAATACTTCTGTGAATGTCTACCATGCATGCACTGTGTTAGGCAGTGCTCCTCAGACTTGCTTCAAAAATAAATCATCTAGGACAGGCACGGTGGCTCACTCCTGTAATCCCAATCCTTTGGGAGGCCAATGTGGGATGATTGCTTGAGGCCAGGCATTTGAGACTGGCCTGGGCAACATAACAAGATCCCATTTCTATAGAAACAAAATGTTAAAAAAAAATTAGCTGGGCATTGTGGTTCACACCTATAGTACTACCTACTCAGGAGGCTGAGGCAGGAGGATCACTTGAGCCCAGGAGTTCAAGATTATAGAGAGCTATGATTGTGCCACTGCACTCCAGCCAGGGTGACACAGTGAGACCAAGTCTCACAATTAAAATTAAAATAATGGCCCAGTGCAGTGGGTGGCTCTCACCTGTAATCTCAGCACTTTGGGTGGCTGAGGTGGGAGGATAGTTTGAGCCCAAGAATTTGAGATCAGCCTGGGCATCACAGTGAGACCCCCTTCTCTACAAACATTTTAAGTCAATCAATCAATCAGTCAATCATTTGGGGTGTGCCTGCTAAAAGTACCAAATGCAGGACCTCAGTCTTGGAGATTTTGATTTAGTAAGTTCTAGACTTGGGTCCTGGGAATACAAATTTTTAATAAGCACTGCAAATAATTCTTTTTGGTGGGCAAGTTGAACAACACACTGGGCTAAAGGTTGAGAAACTAGCTCTGAATCAGACAAGCCTGGATTTGAATCTCAGTTCCATCATAGAGGTTGTTTTACAAGCTGCGTAAGTTGGAGTAAGTTACTTAAACATCCTGTGCCCTAGTTTCTTTATCAATAAAACTGGGTAAGAGAAATGAAGCACTCACAAAAGGATGTTGTGAGAATTAAATAAAATAATGCATGTGACATGCTTAGCAAATAGAAATTGTTCAACAAATGTTTTGTCTTCCTTGTCTCTTTTTCCCTGATGTCAACAGAAGCCATCTTCCCCTAACTGTCCCAAATGCCACCACAGTCTTTCACTCTTCAATTAGGGATGAAATTTTAAATCTGAAAAGCACTCAAGTCTGCCTTGGTAAAGAAATTGGTGTGACAAAGTAAAACATTGCCTAATGCACAGTTTAGTTTTGACTTGGTTCTAAACATTCCCTCTTAGACTCAACCATGAGTTTCTCACTTATATTAATAATTATATTAATTAATTCATTCAACAACCATTTCCTGTGCTTTTACTGTGTTTGTCACTATACTAGGCTTGAAATTTTTGTGGCAAGAAAACCAGTGTGTTTCCTATTTTTGACTCACTGAGCATCCTGCTGTTTCTGTGAATCTCTTGATTTTGACTGGCTTCTATTGCTAACACTTTCAATTTGGCCCCATTTTTGTTTTCCATGCTTTCCCAGAACCATAAGCCTTCAAAAGTTCCTTAGCCTCCACATCCGTTCTGCCCAGATGAACATTCCCCTTTGCTCCTTGACTCACAGCTTTCAAGATCAACAGGGACTCCTGTGACTGACGACAGCCAAAGCATGAAGCTAGCTCTCCAGCTCACCCATGAGTAGAGGAGTCAGAAAATCAGTTTACAGAGCCTAGAGTGGTCATTAAATGGGTGAGAGATCTTAGCAGCCTACAAGGAATTTTTAATATATTAAATAACTTATTTTCACAAAGTGCAATGCAGAAGATGTATACATTTTTGAATGAGCAAAATCCAAAAGTTTTTTTCTCAATAATCTCCTACCGTGGTACATGCATCCAGCCATATATGAAGTGTTATGTTGGCAAGCAGTCATATATCATACAGGGTATTACTTAAATATTTTTTCACCTAATAAGCTAAATGAGAATACCGTTTCTCATTTGTTTCACCATCATATATCCTCACCAAAATAATATCAGACTTGAAAGCATGCAGAGGTCAGCTCATTAATGTTTATAAAACAAGGATAGTCAATCATTAAAAAGTCTAGTTGTATACAAAGATCCCTCTCATTAATAATATTTCTCCTTGATCCTGAAAATGTAATTGATGTAGCACTAGGAGCGTAAAAGAAAGCAGAGGCAAGGAGTCAAGTAGTAAAAATGCCATGTGACCAGGAATATTGAGGACGTTTATACAATGCAGAGTCAGGAATTCAGTAAAAAAGGTGACGGCTGAAGGAAAGAAATTAGTGATTCTACAAGAGGAGTCATACCAATAGTTGCTGTAAACTGTCACTCCTCAGCCCTGATCTGCTCAGCTAACATCTCTGGCCTTACATATGCTACACTTACATATGCCCAGAGTTATGACAATCTGTGTCTTTGAGAAGAAAAAGGTGGAAGGCTATCTTATGGAGAGCAGGAGGGATCCAGACTTACAGGTTCTGTTGAGAACAAAGAAGAAACACTGAAATCCAGTGGCTGGAGCCCAGACTTTGTTGTTATAAATTTCCATTCCCATGACAATGACCTCTCTTTGAAATCTGCATATGAAGGGCCTGATGCTTAATAAGAGAAAATGGGTTTGATTTCTTGCACCTTTTATTTCAAGCACCTTAATTTCTTGAGCTGGGGCCTATGTGCAGTCAACATTTCTGTGGAATAACAGCATCAGATCTCACCTGGAAAAGGGCAGTTGGCTCCACCAGACAGGTCCTCATTAGGATGGCAAGACCTTGTTGCAGTCACCATGTCTATATCAGTCACCTATTGCTGAATTACAAAACACCTCAAATTCAACGGCTGAAAACAATCTTATTGCTCATGATTCTGTAGGTCAGGGATTTGGGCGGGGCTCAGCAGGGACAGCTTGTCTTTGTTCCATTTGGTGTCAGCTAGGAGATTTAACTAGGGTTGGAGGCCTCTCACATCTGGTGCCTTGTTGCTGGCAGTCATTTTGGACACATTAGTTCTTCTTGTGGCCTCTTTCCTCATGTGACCTCTTTCCTTTGGGGTGCATTTACCCATTTGGTAAGCACTAGCCACGTATGTCTTTTATATAGAAAATTACATTAATCAAAATTAAATAAAGTTTAAAATTCAGTTTCTCAGTTACAAGTTACGTTTGGAGTGCTCAATAGCTACATGTGGCTAGCAGCTACCACATTGGACAATGTAGAGTACTTTCATTATAACAGGAATCTATTGGAAAGCACTGTTCTAGGGCCCCTCTCCTCAGCAGGATGGCCTGGACTTCTTTCCATGGTGGTTGGCTTCCCTCTAACTGAAAACAGAGCCACAGGGACTCAAGGCCTGGCCCTGGAAGTACCAGATACTACTACTATTGCGTTCTATTGGTCCAAGCAATTCACAAAACAGCACAGATTTCAACAGACTCCATAGCAAACAGTGAAGACATATTGTAAAAGGCGAAGAAACAAGAGAGACATAATTCACTGGCTGCCATTTTTAAACTTCATTGGTTTTATACATTTCTTATGGAATTGTTAGACTCATATAACATTGTTTTTTTCTCTTTGCATATTTCTTTTTTTAAACTTTTAAGTTCAGGGGTATATGTGCAAGATATGCTGACTTGTTACATAGGTAAATGTGTGTCATGAGGGTTTGTTGTACAGATTATTTTATCACCCAGGTATTAAGCCAAGTACCCATTCGTTATTTTTCCTGATCCTCTCCCTCCTCTATACCCTCCAATAGGCCCCAGTGTGTGTTGTTCCCCTGTATGTGTCCATGTGTTCTCATCATTTAGCTCCCACTTATAAGTAAGAACATGCTGTATTTCATTTTCTGGTCCTGATTCAATTTGCTAAGGATAACAGCCTCCGGCTCTATCCATGTCCCTGCAAAGGACATGATCTCATTCTTTTTTATGGTTTTATAGTATTCCATGGTGTATATGTATGACATTTTCTTTATCCAGTCTATCATTGATGAACATTTAGGTTGATTCCAGGTCTTTACTATTGTGAATAGCGCTGCGATAAACATACACATGCATGTGCCTTTATAATAGAACAACTTATATTCCTTTGGGTATATACCCAAGTAATGGAATTGCTGGGTCGAACAGTATTTCTGTTGTTAGGTCTTTGCGGAATAACCACACTGTCTTCCACAATGGCTGAACTAATTTACACTCCCACCAACAGTGTATTAGTGTTCCTTTTTCTCCACAACTTGACCAGCATCTGTTCTTTTTCGACTTTTTAATAATAGCCATCCTGACTGGTGTGAGATGGTGTCTCACTGTGGTTTTGATTTGCATTTCTCTAATGATCAGTGAGGTTGAGCTTTTTATCATATGATTGGTGGCTGCATGTGTATCTTCTTCTTCTTCTTTTTTTTTTTTTTTTTTTTTGAGATGGAGTCTTGCTTTGTCGCCCAGGCTGGAGTGCAGTGGCAGGATCTCGGCTCACTGCAAGCTCTGCCTCCCGGGTTCACACCATTCTCCCGTCTCAGCCTCCCAAGTAGCTGGGACTACAAGCGCCCGCCACCACGCCCTGCTAATTTTTTGTATTTTTAGTAGAGACAGGGTTTCACCCTGTTAGCCAGGATGGTCTCGATCTCTTGACTTCGTGATCCACCCGTCTCAGCCTCCCGAAGTGGTGGGATTACAGGCGTGAGCCACCGCGCCCAGCCTGCATGTATATCTTATTTTGAGAAGTGTCTGTTCATGTCCTTTGACCACTTTTTAATACTTTTTCTTCTTGTAAATTTAAGTTCCTAATAGATGCTGAATATTAGACCTTTGTCAGATGCATAGTTTGCAAAAATTTTCTCCCATTCTGTAGGTTGTCTGTTCACTCTGATGATAGTTTATTCATTTGTGCAGAAGCTCTAATTAGATCCCGCTTGTCAATTTTTGCTTTTGTTGAAATTGCTTTTGGTGTCTTTGTCATGAAATCTTTTTATTTTATTATTATTATTGTTGTTATTATTATTATTATTATTATTTTGAGATGGAGTCTCACTCTGTCACCCTGGCAGTGCAGTGGTACAATCTTGGCTTACGGCAACCTGTGCCCCCCAGGTTCAAGCAATTCTCCTGCCTCACCTCCCAAGTAGCTGGGACTACAGGCGTGCACCACCATGCCCAGCTGGCCTTCTCTCCTTATCTTATTTTTCTGATATAAACTAATTCCTGCTAATATATTAATCTCTAATGGCTTAAAGTAGGTA